GGTAGTTGAAAGCAGCTATCAAATCCCCCCTCATTCTTCTCTTCTGCAGACTAAACAATCCCAGCTCCCTCAGCCTCTCCTCATAAGTCATGTGTTCTAGACCCCTAATCATTTTTGTTGCCCTTCGCTGGACTCTCTCCAATTTATCCACATCCTTCTTGTAGTGTGGGGCCCAAAACTGGACACAGTACTCCAGATGAGGCCTCACCAATGTCAAATAGAGGGGAACGATCACGTCCCTCGATCTGCTCGCTATGCCCCTACTTATACATCCCAAAATGCCATTGGCCTTCTTGGCAACAAGGGCACACTGCTGACTCATATCCAGCTTCTCATCCACTGTTACCCCTAGGTCTTTTTCCGCAGGGACCATATAGAACTGGGACCATATAGAACATTGTTGCAACCAAGGTCCTATAGTGGCACCAAATCTTGTATAAAGGGGGTCAGATAAGGTGTCTAAGACGAGATTATGGTTTGCTGGTTATGATTATGCTATCTGTTTGCATGTATCATTTTTGTATTTAAAGATATAAGTATTGGCTATATACTGTCTATATTTCAAACTTATGCTATGCTTCTGGGTGACACCCCAGACAAGTTGGTGTCAGCTCTGCCTAGCCTGCTTGATGGCCCATTAAGGACCATCAGCTATACAATTGACCCACTGAGAGAAGGCAGACACGCCTTGCGACTCAGCAAGGTATGAAGGGACCTGCCTATGGAGAGAACTCTGAGGTTTTTCCATGCCATGTGATGGACAGCTTGTCTCTGGAACAAAGAAAGAAAGATCACATGGCAAGAGAATATAAAAAGCTGCTGCAGCTCCTCCATCTTGACTTCAATCCTGCTTCATACCTCTGGAGGAACTTTGCTATGCTGAAGCATTGAACAAAGGACTGAATGACCCATCCCAGCTGTGGATGTTCTCCAGAGACTTGATTTGAACCTGCCATTTATTCTTTCACTGCTGCAAGCCTGAACCAAGAACTTTGCCATTACTGTATGTAATTGATTCCATTTAACCAATTCTAGCTCTCATCTATATCTTTTTCCTTTTATGAATAAACCTTTAGATTTTAGATTCTAAAGGATTGGCAACAGCGTGGTTTGTGAGTAAGATCGGATTTGTATATTGACCTGGGTCTGGGGCTTGGTCCTTTGGGATTGAGAGAACCTTTTTTCTTTTACTGGGGTACTGGTTATCATAACCATTTGTCCCCATAACGAGTGGCACTGCTGGGGATACTGGGAAACTGGAGTGTCTAAGGGAATTGCTTGTGTGACTTGTGGTTAGCCAGTGGGGTAAAACCAAAGTCTTCTCTGTTTGGCTGGTTTGGTTTGCCTTGGTGTGCCTAGAAACCCCAGCCTTGGGCTGTAACTGCCCTGCTTTAAGCAATTTATCCTGAATTGGCGCTCTCAGTTGGGCCCCGCCAGAACCAGCCACGTTACACTGCGCAATGCAGAATTTTGCAGAAATTAATGTGTGCGCAGAATTTCCTCCCCCCCCAGAAATGGGCTGAAGTGCTGCTGGCCGCCACTAGGGGCCGCTGGACCCAGCAGAGCCCAGCTCGCTCATAGAAGACACTGCTGGGAGGAGGGGGAGGAAGCTAGAGGGTTCCCAACAGCTGCAGTTTCCAGCATGCCCTGGGGGAAAGAGACGGTGGCATGCAGGAAACTCCACACAAGCTGGGGACTCAGCATGAGACTGTTTCTTCCTCTTGATCCCTGGGCTCTGAGGGGTAGGGGGCAGGTGTCTGGGCTGGGGGGGAGGGCGTGACTGGGTTCTGGGGACCTGGGGGGGGCAGTCTGGGCGGGGGTGCCCTGTGGTTGAGCTTGGGGGGTAGGAGGTTTGGGTGTATCGGTGGGGGGGCACGGCTGGGCTCTGCGGGGGAGGGGTTGTGGGTGTCTGGCCCCACGACTGGGCTCGGGGGGGGGGGGGGAGGAGGCAGAGAAACAGAAATTGGGTTGTCATAGGGGTTTCTTTAACTCTCTACTCCTGGGGAATTTTGTATGTGTGTCTGTATTGATACAGACATACTTGCTGGCAGGTATTTTAAAATAAATTACCAAAATAATTAAAACTGGGGTGATTATGTAGTGTTATTTTGACAAATAAAATCTGCAGAATTTTAAAATATTGTGTGCAGAATTTTTAAATTTTTGCGCAGAAGTCCCCCAGGTATACAACATGTGGTATACCTCATTGAGTTCACTAAATGCTCCAACAACAACTATGTGAGTGAAGCTAGACAATCGCTGTGCTCTCAAATGAACACATACAGGAAAATGATAAAAGGCATGAACACCAGCTCCCCTGTGGGTGAACACTTTTCACAAAGCAATCAATATATCTGACCTATCAGTCCTCATCCTCAAAGGAAACCTACGCAACACTTTCAAAAGATGAGCCTGGGAGCTTAAATTCATAACTTTGCTAGATACTAAAAAATCATGGTCTTAATAAAAACACTGGATTTATGGCTTATTATAGCAAACCCTCCCCCCCCCCTTTTTTTTTTTTGGTCCTATGACTACAGGGGTGTTAAGTGTCCATTTCCAGCAGGTTCCCAAGTTCTGGTGAAATCTAAAGGGCTAGTACTGTATGTAGGAAACCCCGTCCACCCCCTCAGTCAGGGTGTGGAGGGTCTGGTGGCTCAGACACATGGACAGCCTATGAGCTCAGTGCAGAGACAGACCTTCCTCTCCGGGCTTGGGGCTTCCATTATTATATCAGAGGAAATCATGTCAGCACACCAAATCAGTTTATATTATAAATCTCGGCCCATCTCTCCTCTCCCCATCCCTTTCATATAAAGACATGTCTCTTCCTGCCCTTGATCTTAGTGACAATGCTTTAAATATGGGTTTCATTTTCCCTTTCATTTGTCCCCCAGTCTCTGTCCTCCTTTCCCCTTCCCTATCTCCCCACCCTCCATTCCCCCCTCCTCCTCTCCCTCTACATCTTTCTTTCACCATCTCCGTCCTGCTTTCCAACTCCCTATTTTTTTCCCCAGAGGCTTTCACGTGTGAGTGAGAGATGAGCATTCATCACAAACCAGTTCGGGTCAGCGAACATATGTGGCCACAGGGATTTTCCTTGGCACAAACAAGGGGGTTGTTTACAACATCTCTACCCCTCTTCTCTAATTCTGTCTCTCTCTCCCTCCCCCCTTTCACCTACACTCTCTTCTGCCCTTCCTTCTGCCAGCACTCTTCTCCTCCCTGCTTTTTCCTGTTCTCCCTCTTCCATCCTCCCCCTCTCCTTCAGTGGCTCAGCATAAACTGCCCCCTGGTGACAGTGTAGAACATTCCCCTCATGTCTGCAATTTTGGGGATGGTGGTTAAAAAACGTATGGGCAAGAGCTGCTGATTGCAGCCCGATGGACACAGTCTCATAGAAGAGTATCAGCTCTTTGGAGACTGAATTCCACAAAACAGGCATGACATGGGTGTGACGGGTTCAGTCACAGAGATCCCCTTTGGACGGTCACCTGATGTGCTGAAGTTACCTCTGAGCCTATTTTCCCTGATAGCTTGGAACTTCCAGAACCCTGCCTTGTTGAGCCAGACACAGTAGCCTGCTGCAACACAGACCCAGGTCTGGTTCATGCCCCCAAAGCTGCAGACTTTAACCAAAAACTGCTCAGCGGGTCACCTATCTCCAGCACCCAGACCCCAATGGCATCCAAACCCCAAATAAATCCATTTTACTTTGTATAACGCTTATATAGGGTAAATTCATAAATTATCCACTCTCTAGAACACTGATAGAGAGATATGCACAGCTGTTTGCTCCCCCAGGTATTAATCACTTATGCTGGGTTTATCAATAAACAAAAGTGATCTTATTAAGTACAAAAAGTAGGATTTAAGTGGTTTCAAGTTATAACAGACAGAATAAAGTAAGTCACCAAGCAAAATAAAGCAAAAACATGCTAGTCTAAGCCGAATACATTAAGAAACTGATAACAGATAAAATCTCACCCTCAGAGATGTTCTAATAAGCTTCTTTCACAGACTGGACTCCTTCCTAGTCTGGGCCCAATCCTTTCTCCTGGTACAGTTCCTGTTAGCTCCAGCTCAGGTGGTAACTAGGGGATTTCTCATGACTGGAACCACCTTTGTTCTGTTCCACCCCCTTATATAGCTTTGGCACAAGGCGGGAATCTTTTGTCTCTCTGGGTCCCCACCCCTCCTTCTAAATGGAAAAAGCACCAGGTTTAAGATGGAATCCAGTACCAGGTGACATGGTCACATGTCCTGTGAGACCCCAAGCCTTTATTCTTCCTGGCCTGACTCACAGGAAGACTTGCAAGTAAACAGAGCCATTTACAACCAATTGTCCTAGTTGATGGGAGCCATCAAGATTCCAAACCACCATTAATGGCCCACACTTTGCATAATCACAATAGGACCTCAGAGTTATACTTCATATTTCTAGCTTCAGATACAAGAATGATACATGCATACAAATAGGATGAACACACTCAGTAGATTATAAGTTTTGTAATGATACCTTACAAGAGACCTTTTGCCTAAAGCATATTCCAATTATGTCAGATACATACTCATAAGCATGTTTCAATAAAACATATGGAGTGCAACATCACAATGGGCAATAGCAATACAAGCATCCCACACATTCTAACCAATCCCCCCCTCAACTGCCTTACCCCTGGGAACAAAAGGGGAGTTTTGTCTCAATGCAGACCTTGGCCTCTCTGCCAAGACAGCCAATAGGGATGCTGAATAATGCTATTGGTGCTTATTGCAATGTGGATGCCTGTCCCACTAAGAACTGGACTAAGACCCTCCACGACTCATAAAACACTGAACACCCATCAGAGAGGGACGCATTTTGGTCATTACTGATCTGGAGCAGAAGCAGAACAGATTAGCATGCTGGAAGCTCCATAGCCTGCTCCCCAGCACCCCCTGAGCCATTCAGTCTCCTCAGGCTTTAGAAAGAGGTTACCTTAACTAAAACCTGCTCTTACCTTCCAGTGAGGCGGCTAGGTGAAACAGACAGACCAGCCACAGCCAACCCATTCCCACTGCTCTTCTCCTTGCCCTTAAGGCAGCGTTAAGATCCATGTAGCTTCTCCAGGGACTCCACCATCTCCAAACAACACCCCCCACTCCCTTCAAGAGTTCCAAGGTGGTGTTAGGTGGGTCAGGGCCTCTCCAAGCCAAAGCACAAGTGTCTCCACACAACAGGGGTGACTCTGGAGAGACAGAAGGTGAAGAAAGGAAATCAGGTAGCCACGATTTCAAGCTATAACATGGCAGCTTCATAAGTTCCAAACACAACCCTACCCCAGCACATGCTGTGCCTGACCCATAGTTGCAGAGTTATATCAGACTGAATGCATGCAATGACAGCACTGCCCCTCCCCCCTCCTCATGCCCCATGCCTCAGCAGTGGTTTAGGAGGCCTCCAGACTCCTGCAGATGCTGCTGTCTCAGCAGGGAGTGCTTCACTGAGTCAGTATTGACCCAGGCCCACAGCATGGTGCTAGGGGGCACTGTTGCTGCATGGCCAAGGCCCTGTCCATTTGCAATCACTGGAAACATCCCATGGCACTTTTTCAAAAAGAGTGGAGCGGTTAAACCTTGCGCCCTTTCCAAATACCAGCCCACGTAATTGCATTTTGCCTCCTTAGAATTTCCAGGGGCAGTTTCAACGAGAAAGATTATTTTTCAGATCCTGTAACACTGTTGTGTAAGACTGCTGACACATTTCATTCCAGAGATAGATGCATTTCAGCTTCAGGACAGTTATCCCTGCAAACATTTATGGTTTTAGCCCCACAACACCTCTGGCACCTAAGGAAGCATTATCCCCATTTCCGAGATGGGGAAATAGGCAAAGAAAGTGACTGACTCTCGGTCAAACAGGAAGTGTGGAACAGCCAAGGAAAGAACCCAAGTCCCAGTCTGATGCCTTTAACCAAAACTTTGTGCTGCCTCTCTGTATAAAGATAGTCTGTAAAGCCCATCCTTCGTCAGGCACCGTACACACCTGCAGCAGCCATACTGAGAAAGTGGCATCACAAAGAGGATTCACTCAGCCTACCACAGTGCAACAGCTTTGTAACACCAGGTCCTTCTGGGCCCAACCATCAGCAAACACTGCTCAGTCCCCATCCCTCCACATAAATGTCATGGACACATGTAGGTTACTCATAGGAAACAATACATTTTGTTTCTTTAGGGCACCATTCATGTAGCATTCCAAAAGGCACTTCAGGGAGACAGTCAAGCGTAAGCTAAGTAGAAAGACAAGGTTCTCAGGGAACACAGAAAGAGGGGAAATGGCTGGGCTAGAGGGGGGAGGGCAGAGTTGCAATTAGAAGAGCCAGGCATGCAGGGATCATCTCCAGATCCAGCAGTGAGGAAAGAAAAGCAGGAGGGAAAGTCTGGGGGAGCAGAGGGTGGAAAATTTGGGGTCGGGTAGTAGAGTGGAATTTGAGTTGCTTTATTTGTGTGAGAGAAAGAGGCATCACCAGACAAAGAGGAGAGTGTCCCTTCCTGTACAGCCCTAGTGAAACTGCACTAGAATGCTGCATCCAAAGGGATTAGAGCAGGGGTGGGCAAATTTTTTGGCCCGAGGGCCACATCGGGGAATAGAAATTGTATGGTGGGCCATAACTGCTCTCAAAATTGGGGTTGGAGTGCAGGATGGAGTGCGGGCTCTAGGTTGGGACCGAGGGTTTTGGAGGGCGGGAGGGGGATCAGGGCTGGGGCAGGGGTTCAGGAAGGGTGCAGGTTCCAGCTGGGGCTCTGGGGTGGGGCTGGGAATGAGAGGTTTGGGGTGCAGGAGGGTGCTCCAGGCTGGGATCGAGGGCTGGGGCAGGGGAGAGGCTCAGGGGATGCAGACTCCAAGTGGCTCCCAGAAGCAGTGGCATGTCCCTTCTCCGGCTCCTATGCAGAGGCGCAGCCAGGCAGCTCTGCACACTGCCCCATCTGCAGGCACCGCCCCTGCGCGTAGTCGCCAGAGCAGGGCCATGCCGTAGCTTCCAGGAGCCATGTGGTGCAGCCCCCGACCCTGCACCCCAGCTGGAGTGGGGCCGAAACACATGTTCCGGCCCTGACCCAGCACCCCGGCCAGAGCACCGGAGCGGGGCCGAGCCGCGTGGTCTGGCCCCCAACCCAGCACCCTGACCAGAGCGAGGCCAAGCTGTGTGGTCCAGCCCCCAACCCAGCACCCCAGCCAGAGCGCTGGAGCAGGACTGAGCCATGTGGTGTGGCTCGCGGGCCGGATCCAGCCTGTGGACCATAGTTTGCCCACCCCTGGATTAGAGCCACCCCAAACATCAGGAAGATATAGGAAAACTGAAGGGAGCTCAGAGAAAAGCAAGAAGCATGATTCAGGGGGACTGATTTGTGAGGAGAGATAAACAGAACTAATTAAATATAACTGGGACAAATGACTAAAATGTGTGTGTTGGGAAGTGGGGGTGAGGAGAATACAGTAATTGGCTCCAAGTCTTATAAAGGTGTAAACACTGAGAAAGGAGAGAAGCTGATTGCAGGGGTCCCAGAGAGCAAGGGGATGAAACAGAGCAAAGGGGAATATTTCAGGCTGGCTAATCAGGAAATATTTCATAACAGTGAGAACTATTAGACTGTGGTGAAATAGTCTCCCCAAGGGAAGTGGTAAAAGATCAATTGCTTGAGCCATTTAAAACTTGACTGGCAATGCCTGGGAGAATACGCTGTAGAGAGCTGAAAATAATAACCTTCTGTTCTCCTATGCAGTCTTTAATACCAAGATCTAAAAGCACTTTACTATGTTAGCAGACCCCTGAAAGGAAGATATTGTAAGTATTGTGACCACTGTTTTACAAGGAGGTAAACAGAGGAACAAAGACAAATTCAACCCAGGCGTTAAGTGCAGAACTATCCACTGAAACCAATGGAATTTTATCCACTTCTATCAGGCCTGACTTTGGCCAACGGGTGAAGTGAATTGCCCAGTGTCATGCAGTAAGTCAGTGGCAGAGCTGGGAACATAACCCAGGAATCCTGACCTTGTTCCAACCACCAGATCTCAGTCTCAGTGTTGGGTCAGACAGGCAATAGTGGGAAAATTGACAAAATGTGACTGAAGATTCTTATCAGGAATAAGGCAGAATTTGAAACAAACTGATAGAAGTAGACCCACTGTTGGCCTGGGGAAATGGCCACTCTCCTTCCCCACCCATCTGTAGGGTACATTATCTGCCTAGTTTATACTGCTTTCCTCAGTATTCCTAGCCCCAATGAGTTTGCGTTGCTCTTTACTTGGCAGCACACATCCCTTTGTCAGTCTGGATTAGGTTGGAAAATTCTTTTTCCCCCTTAAATAAATTGTGGCTAATCCCAAAAGCTGGTTTTGATTTAGACAGCAGCAAAAATGTAAATACCTGCACATTTCAGATGCTATCTCTTCCCCCAGCCAACATGCTGGCCCAAAAATAAGGACAATGGAAGATGTTATGGCTGGGGGCCATGTATATATATGGGATGGCAGGAGGAAGCATTTCCTTCAGAAATTGAGGAGTACTGAGGCCCTAATCCCAAATTTAGTCTCCTGCCCTTTCCTCCCACTCCTGCTGGAAACCCAGACCTGACCATCTCCTGGTTCTTCCATCCTAAGTGTCCTGCACACACCTCTTCCAGTACTGAACCCTCCTGTTACTAGGGTGACCAGACAGCAAGTGTGAAAAATAAGTACAGGAGGTGGGGGATAATAGGTACCTAAATAAGACAAAGCCCCAAATATCAGAACTGTCCCCATAAAATTGGGACATCTGGTCACCCTACCCGTTACTTCTCAGCAACCTCAATCTAGCCCAGCTTCTCACCCACCCCTTCACTACTACAGACAGACACCCGTCCTGGTCACCCATGCAGCTCCTTCTTACCACTCCCACAAGGATATTCAGTTCAGATCTAATTCTCTAATTCACCTATCCTTCCCACTCTGCCAGCCCAAATGAGAACCTCCCAATGTGGAATCCCTCAGTGCCTCCCTGCTCCGCTTCCCTCTCTCCCAACCACTCATAATGGGCTGTTCCCACTGTCAATCACTCTTGCATTAACTCCTCCATAACAAGCTTCTTGTATTGCCCCAATGCTCATAGCTCCCTAACTCCTGAATGACCTCTAGTTCCCAGATGGTGCTGGGAATTAGACAGTGTCCAAAAAGAGAAATGGCTCTTCAGTCTCCTCAAACTTCTGGAGGGAAGAGTTGCTTTAATGATTCTGTCCAGTAGAGCAACCAGAAAGGAGTCCAGTGCAAACCCATAAAGACAGGTTTCAGAGTAACAGCCGTGTTAGTCTGTATTCGCAAAAAGAAAAGAAGTACTTGTGGCACCTTAGAGACTAACCAATTTATTTGAGCATAAGCTTTCGTGAGCTAGAGCTCACTTCATCAGATGCATACTGTGGAAACTGCAGAAGACATTATATACACAGAGACCATGAAACAATACCTCCTCCCACCCCACTCTCCTGCTGGTAATAGCTTATCTAAAGTGATCACTCTCCTTACACTGTGTATGATAACCTGGATTTGTGCTGGAAATGGCCCAACTTGATTATCATACACATTGTAAGGAGAGTGATCACTTTAGATAAGCTATTACCAGCAGGAGAGTGGCGTGGGAGGAGGTATTGTTTCATGGTCTCTGTGCATATAATGTCTTCTGCAGTTTCCACAGTATGCATCCGATGAAGTGAGCTGTAGCTCACGAAAGCTTATGCTCAAATAAATTGGTTAGTCTCTAAGGTGCCACAAGTACTCCTTTATGGGTTTCGCAAAAAGAAAAGGAGTACTTGTGGCACCTTAGAGACTAACCAATTTATTTAATCTTTTGTGAGCTACAGCTCACTTCATCGGATGCATACACAAGGTACCACAAGTACTCCTTTTCTTTTTGCGAATACAGACTAACACAGCTGTTACTCTGAATTCTGTCACAAAGCAGCTTGGTGTGTGAATATTGTACATTGGGGTGGGCAAACTATAGCCCGTGGGCCGAATCTGGCCCGTCATGGCTTTGGATCCAGCCCGCGGGATTGCCACCCCCGTGGCACCGCAGGTGCCGCATTGCTCCCGGGAGCGGCTGGCACCACATCCCTGCAGCCTCGTTGGTGGGGGGGGGGGGGGGCGGGGGAGAGGAAGAGGCCTCCGTGCACTGCCCCCGCCTATGGGTACCTGCCCCGAAGCTCCCATTGG